AAAAGAATATTTGAATTGTCTATAACAAATATTCTATTGAATATTAAACTACTTAAATATTACAATATTATCCAGGTTCATTTTCATAAAAATGTTTTACATTTTAATTTTATACAACTCATGAAAGCTAAATATAAAGAAGCTAATTGAACTGGCAGAGTAAACTTAAAAATGCAGCAATGTGTGTCATACATATAATTTTATTTCTATCAAACTATATAAAAAGTGTGTCATTTTAGTGGTGTTTTGTACATGCTTATCAGTACTAATTGTTATTTTTTAAGTATAAAGCAAGACTTTAAAATTAAAATAGAGGGTTACCATAACATTCTGCTGACGAAGGGACTGCTGCTGACACCAAGAGCCCCTCTGGGCCAGGGAGATGGCTCAGGAGAACAAGGCGCTTCCCTGGCAAGCGCAAGGGTCTGAGTTCAATCCCCGGTTCCGCCAAAAAACAAGAGTTCCTCTGTGCACACAGTAAAGTCATGCATTTGTCTTAGACGGAGTGTTAACATTTGCACTTCTTGGAAGAAGTAACTGCAAAGGGAGGGTCATCAGGTGGTTCAGGTGACTGTAACTGCCAGTTATAGAAACTGGAGCTCACACTACTCAGGAAACATTATTCAAGTAAATCTGTAAGCTGTTCTCTAGGCCTAACTATTCCAGATATGCCTCATGTTTGAGATAGCAATGACTGAGTCCAATTTTGTTTCTGGTGGGTTTCTACAAAGATATCCTTCAAGTATCCCCAACTTAGCTGGCAATACTTCCACCCTTTACTTAAAAGAGCTTTTTAAAAGGGAGCAGGAGCTGGGGATTTGGCTCAGCGGTAGAACACTTGTCTAGCAAGCTGGAAGTTCTGGGTTTGGTCCTTGGCACCAAAAACAAAAAATAAACCTCCCCTAAAAAACAATTCAAGGGGCTGGGGAGATAGCTCAGTAGAGTAAGAGCTTGACGGGCAAGCATAAGGGCCTAAATTCAATCCCCAGTTCCACCAAGAACAAACAAACAAAAAACAATTCAAGGGCTGGGGAGATGGCTCAGTAGAATAAGCACTTCCTTGGCAAGCTCAAGGGCCTGAGTTTAATCCCTGGTTCCGCAAAAAATTAAAAACAAAAAAAAATCACAAAAGTGAGCACAGGGCCAGCCTGAACTGCTTAGCAAAACCCTGTATCAAATAAACAAACAAACTCTGAAATTACATAATAGAAACGATGCATAACCAATGAACACATTAAGAAATTGATGAATTATACATTTTAAGACAGTAAATTTTATTTTATGTGAAGCACATCCTCTTTTCTAAAAATAGACCCAAAAAATGAACTAAAAATCAAGACCTTCCTGTTAACAAAGACTGAAAGAATTTATAGCCATGACAGCTCCCCCCAAACCCTGGTACTGGGGATCGAACTCAGGACCTTGCACTTACCAGGCAGGCACTTATGTCACTGAGCTATCTCCCCAGGCATATATCTTTCTTCTTTTTTTTTTTTAAAGATGCACCATGGCTCTCTTTCTTTTGTACAGGACCTACAAGGTCTCACTACACAGACTGGACTCAGTGATCCTTCCTGTTTTGTAGCTTCCCAAGCTTGCTGGGATTACAGGTGTGCACCACTACACCCAGTCTCAATTGCAGTCTCAGTGCGCCCTGGGAGCAGGGCAAGCAGCAGGCTGAGGATGGAACCCCCAGTCCCTGCATCTGCCTAAGCAGACGCTTTAATTCGCTGAGCTCTCTGGCCAGCCCCTCCCGAGCCCTATATCTTTTTTATAATGGAAGTATTAAAGGAAGTCCCTCAGGCTAAAAGGAAATAAATGGTACAGATGGTAACTGAATGCAAAGAAATAAAGTGTTCTAATATACACAACAATGATAGCAGAAAGGGAAGATGAGGAAATATTTTATATTTGCTTAGGAGAGAAGTTTAAAACAAGTTGAAAATATGTCTAGGCTATTAAGGTTAGTTCTTGAGGGAGGTTTGGTCATCTGTGTATTTCAAGGAATTGGTGTTTTTCATTTAAATTGCTAAATTTACTGTATAAAGTTGTCATGAGCCAGGCGTGATGCATGTTTGTAAAAGCAGCACTCAGGAGGCTGAGACAAGAGGATCAATGGTGAGTTTGGGGCCAACTTCTGGGCTATATAATGAGTCAAAGGCAGCGTGAACTATATAGGGAGACCCTGTTTCCAAAAAAAAAAAAAAAAGTTATCATTACTATAATTTTCTAATCACTTTAATTGCTGAGATATCTTTCTTTTCTTCCTAATCAGTCTGGCTAGAGTCTGACTTAAGAAAATCAAAATATTGCTATTTATTTCTTAATACTTGTTCCTTTTTTTTTTTTTTTTTTTTGGTTTCCTCGTTATGGATTTCTGCTTTCACTTTTATTTAAGTAATTTTTGCTTTTGACCTTGTATTTCAGGCTATATATATATTTATTTATTTATTTATTGTTGGTGAGGGGAGTAAAATCCAGGGCTCCATGCATACTAGGCAAGGGCACTACACTGAGCTTCATTCACCTTTAGCTCCTGTACTACACATTTATCTACTGGTTGTCCCCAGTGTGGCAATATTCAGAGATGGGGTCTTTAAGAAGTGACTGGATCATGGGGGCTATGACCTAATGGATGGATTAATCTACTTATGGATTCATAGCTTAATGAGTTTGGGGCAGAGTCTTTGTTATAAAATCCAGCGCTCTCTCCTCATGCTGCCTGGAATCTATGAGGTAAGTAGCTTTATTCCACCAAATGTTCCTGGCCAGGGTGTTCTACTTCATCAAAGCCTAGAATTAACTAAATCAAGTGACCATTAACTGAACCTCTGAAATTATGAGCTAAAACAAATCTTTCCTCTTTTTGGATGATTTTCCTAGGTATTTTATCAGAGTGATGGCAAGATAACATTACCTTAAACACAGCTTTAGCTATATGTTACACATCTTATTTTTTTATTATCTTGCTATTTAAGTGTATTTTCCAATTTCAAGATTTAGTTCCAATGAAAGCAGGATCTCAAGGACTAACTAATCAAGAAAGGGAAAGGAGAAGAGCTAGGAAACATGAATGAGGCAAGCCATACAGTTATATGTAGAAGATGGGAAAGGCAATGATCCTGAGAATCTCCAGAAGATTTTTGAATCTAGTAGTTAATTGGAAAGATTCTCACCCTGACTAACTGTATATACTGATACTTGTGAACTAAGCTACTGCACTGCAGATGGTAATCTGTAATAGTAGTTTCATGCTTGGAGTGCCTGTCATTCTGATCTTCTCAATATGGGCTGCTTGTCATGACATGCCAGTTGCTGCTATGATGTCTCTCGGTTAGATGGTTGTTCAAGAAGAAGGGGGTGGTGAACGAAAACAAGAGACAGGAAAAGGAATATTGTGGGACTGTCCTGCTTCAAGGTTGTATATGGTGAGATTTTTGGACTTATGTGTAAACATAAGTATATAATTCTTTATGCCTATTTTTAAAATATATTCTAATTTTTAAATGTTTTTTTAATCATATTCTGTGGGGACTTAAAGTTCAACATATCAATAATTGATGAAAAATACCTGTTCCATATTATGCCTAAGATGTTTGATATTCAGACAGATAGTGAGGTTAAGCTTAACAGACTAAGTCATATGGTAATAACAATAAGTTTGTCTTCTGGATGGTTAACAAACTAAGTTTGTAGACCAAAGTTAGAGAAAAAGGAGGGCTGCAAGGAAAACCAACAGTTTGGCCCTAGCCTTCCAAGGTCAATTAAAACTTAGGACATATGAGAACTTGTACTGTAACGTCATGTAACTCAGTAGTGTCCCAAATTTTCTGATCAAGGAGATTATGGGGCCAAAGAGGAAAGTGATCGATGATGTAGAGTGTGCCTAAGGAGAGTCACATGGAGAGAAAACATTCTCTCAGGCTTTCACAGAGAGCACATTGGCCAAGCAATGGCTGTGACTCATCCACATGGCTTATACTGACAAAAGATCTACAATCTGAGGTACAGGATCTCAGGATAAATCCTGAGGGGATTTCACTGACTTTATCAGACCCAAAAGCTACAACTCTTGTTGCATAGGTCCTGCTTTACGTTGGTCTTAACCATCCAGCAGAAAAGTATAAAAATGAAATATAAGAAGTAAAGCCATGCTGTTATGTTGAGCTGTACATAACAGCTCAGGCCAACAACTGCTAACATTGCCAGTCAAGCGGAAGATCCAATACTATTATGGGCTCCTGGACTCTTTAGAATATTTTGCTGAGTTTACACACCTATAATATTCAAATAACAGAACTTAACAAAAAAAGGGTATACAGATGAATATCCATTTTGTATTTGTGTATTCAAAGTGGTTAGGATAGATATATAGTTACATTCTCTTAATGAATAGAGGGATTTGTTCTAATGGTGTTTGTAAATAGGATATCATGTCTGCATCCTGTACAGCAATTAACCACTAGGAAGAATGTATGCAATGTGTTAATTATTGAAACTGTCCTACCAATTTGATTTTTAACTGTCTTATTGCTATTTGTTTATCAATAAAATTATGGGAAAAAAATCAAGGTATTTTAAGTATGTGTACCTCCTTCCTAAAATAAATGTGAATTATCTACTGAAAATGTATGCTAATAAAATAAATAAATGTATATATTAAAAAAAAAGATTCAGTTCCAAATAGGCATAATAATCTCAGTGAACTCTGATAGATTTGCATTACTACTAAGTGTTGGATCACAGAAATACACAGTTAAATTTCAAGCAAATCCACAATTCTGAAATCCTATTTCTTAAAACAAAATAACTAAAAATTCTTTGTAGTAGTCATACATACATATTTACTCTGGCTGGTATATCCTCTTCAAAAAGTTCTAATTTATCCTCTTCCATGTCATTAACCTTCACTTGTTTTGCTACTTCCAAAAGCAATGAATCACTGGAGTTCTGTGAGTGTTGGATACCTGTTTATACATAAAATATCAATTAAACATATAATATAAAAAATAAAGGAAAAAATATCATCATAGCGCTACTATAATTTCCATTAATCACACAATAATGTGTATTGCAAGTAAGGAAGGTATTTTAATGTAGAATAATCTATGATGCTTGATGGTGATTTTTAAACACATGTGTTAAGAGATATAGATGTACTAAAATGTATGAATTATTATTAATGATGGCATTAGCTATTTCTGAAATAGGCCAAATAGTTAGTTGGGTGTAGTGATGCATGCTTGCAATCCCAGCACTCAGGAGGTTCAAGCAGGAGGATGGCTGCAAGTTCAAGGTCAACCTGACTATATACCAAGACCCTGTCTCAAAACAAAAATAAAGATAAACAAAAAGAAATAGGTGAAATACTCTACTGACAGTCTGATATAAATACAAAACTTTATGTAGATAAGTGACACTATTATTCATACTTAATCATAGTTAATTCTAAAACATGCCAGTATGAAACCCAAAGAATCATTCTCACTGTACAAATAACATTTCTGTAGTGCATTTATAAATAAGTACTAAGAAAGAATATAGGTCAAATTTTCTTCAATTGGAAGATAAAACACAGACCAAGAACCAAAGTTTTACTTTCCGGAGTATATGGTATTTAATAAGTACTTCATATATATATATATATATATATATATATATATGCATGCTACAAACATATTTCATAAACAAAACATTTTATAGGAAAATAGGGCTGTCATAATGAAGAGAACATAAGCTGTGAGATGATAAACTTAGATTCAGATTCTGTTTTGCCACTTATTAGCTATAGGGTCCCATGAATTTATCTCCTCCCCATCTTCTTTTTTGTGGTACTGGAAATTCAACATAGAGCCTTACTCATGCTACAAAGTAATCTGCCATGGAGCTATAGTCCCAGCCTCTATCCCATTCTCTTTAAAAATTTTTCTTTTGATACAAGGTTTTTCTTAGTTGCCCAGGCTTGCCTCATACTTGTGATTTTCCTGCCTCAGATTTCTATATAGCTAGAATTACAGGCAGATGCCATTGAACATGATACCTGTTTTCTTAAAGGTGAAAAAGAGAACTTATCACAGAGTTGTTATGGATACAACAGTAATATATATGATACAAAATATAAATGGTACCTTTTATTATTACATTCACCTCAACTATCTTCATTTGCATGAGAACAACAGTAATATAAATAAATACATAACTTAAGGTAAGAATTAAATATTCTATAGATTTATAAACACACTTCATTTACAGAAATAATAATTCATACTAACGTAAGACTAAAAATAACTATAAAAACACTATAAACAAAACACGAAGATTATTTCCCTTTCAACTTCTTAAATGGTATGATTGCTCAGACATAAAATATATTAACCTATTAATGTTGTATTTTTCTGTATGTTTGTTTTCAACACACTTCTACCTAGTCCATACTTTTTCTAGAACATGTTGGTAATTGCTCCTACTGAACATCTCTTTAAAAAAAAAATGGTTAAGGCAGTTAAACAAAGCACTTGAACTCACTACGTAGCCCAAGCTGGTCTCAAACCTTTAGTGGTACTCCCACCTCAGTCCCTTAGTCTTGAGGTGCTGGGCTTTTAGGCATGTGACCCCACTCTTGGCTTAGAATTAGAAAGACCTAAATAATTGCCAATAAAATTTTGCTTTCTAAAAAAAAAAAAAAACTTGTTTTCTAGAAAGTTTAATTGTGGGGGTTGGGGAGATGACTCAGTAGAATAAGCGCTTCCCTGGCAAGTGCAAGGGCCTGAGTTCAATCCCCGGTCCTGCCAAAAAAAAAGAAAAAGAAAAAAAAAAAGTTTAATTGTGTTGGCAAGGCTGGTCTTAAAGTTGTGATTCTTCTGCTTTAGCCTCCTAATAAGTAGCTCAGAATATAGATGTGTACTAGTACCCCCTTTTCTGTTTTGAAGAATTCTACCATATCTAATGGTCTAGGGAAAAGACAATATTTCACTATAAGATACATAGTTCATATGAAATTCAGTATAATTTTATAATTACAGGCCAGGGATTTAGCTCAGCGGTGCAGCACCTGCCTGGCAAGCATGAAGTCCTGAGTTTGATTCCCAGTACCAAAAAATTTATTTTTATACTTATAAATATTTTCTGGTGAAAGCACCACCAAAGGAAATATGAGGTCATTTTAGATTTAGCTCAAACATTAACAGCTGAATACATGGAAACATTTAAGTATCAACTGCAAAACACTCTTCCTTTGTAAGTTAACATTTTAAGAACAATAAGACAATACTAGCCCATCAACAATCCGTCTTTAACAGTTAATAAAGCAGTCACTGGAACTCACCGAAGTTATCTCTCAAGGCACTAGCTTCTTCATGAGTTTTGAAATGATAGTTTGGTACCAGTTTAAGTCTCATGCGGGAATAATTTTCTACATTAGCTAGTTTCCAGTGAATTGGATTCTGTTTCCTAAAAATGTAATAAGCAGACAAAATATTTAGATTAAGATTACAAATATAAAGTGGTATAATAAATTATTACATATTAGCTAGGTGAGGTGGCATACACCTACAATACAAGCATGATGAGATATTACAGTAGATGGACAATTTGAGCCCAGCCTAGGCAACTTAGCAAGAGCCTACCTCAAAAAACAAGCAAGCAAGCAAGTAAGCAGGCAGGCAAAACAAACAAAAGTACCAGGCATGATGGTGCACTTCCTGAGGCTGGATTCCTGAGGGGAATGGCTGCAAATTTTAGGCCAGCCTAAGTTACATAGGGGTTCAAGGCCAGTTTAAACTTCATAGAGATCCTGTCTCAAAACCACCACCATACCACCCCCACCCTCACTACCATTACCATAATAAAAACCCAAAATCTCCAAAAAACAAACAAACAAAAATCCAAGTATTTTCTATTTGTTTTAAAACATTCATAATGATCATCTCATTTACTTTTGCTTTATTTTTTGGTTAATTATCTCATTTAATTCAAATGCTACAAAGAATTATAAGAGGAACCTAGGATAGCTATTATTTGCACTCTGATATAAGGTTTACAGGTAGCATAAATCAGATCTGAATGGGGACTTTCAAACTTACAGCTTGATTTCTTTACTTTTTCACTGTCAACTGGAAGCTCTTAAGTAACTATACAGCGAGTTTATATTTCCAAATACAATTTAAAAAGAAATTTTCTAAAAATAAAGACAAAGGGGCTGGGGAGATGGCTCAGTAGAATAAGTGCTTCCCTGGCAAGCACAAGGGCCTGAGTTCAATCCCCGGTTCTGCCAAAAAGACAAAAAATAAAAATAAGGACAAATAAAAATGGGTCAAAGATGTAAGAGGTAGGACTATGAAATTCTTAGAAGCTAATTTTATACCTCGGCAAGAAATTGAGTGGACGATGGAAAGGAGAACAAGTGATTAAGGGAAGGAGGGAGGTGGAAGGGGAAGAAAAGAGAATTCTACACACACATGTGTTATCTACACACGCCAATTTGCATGATGAATATAGTCATTTTGTATTGCAAACATGGACTAGTACTATTTTTTAAAAATTGAGACACTTCTCCAAAGAAGATATACAAATGGCCAACAATCACAAGATGTTTGCATCATTTGTTATTAGGAAAATGGAAAGGAAAATCATACGATGCTCACTAGGAGGCGCTATACAATTTTTGAAAATGGCAAGTACTGGTTAGGATGTAGAGAAATTGGGACTTTACCTTTCTAGTGCAAACATAAAACAATATGGTGTATGGAAAAGAGCCTGGCAAGTCCTCAATGAGTCACACAGAATTATCTGACAATCCAGCAATTTTACTTGTAGATATAGATACCCAAATGGATTACTAACAGGTGATCAAACATTTTTACACAATTGTTCATAGCAGAGCTAATTACAATTTAAAAAGTGATTAACAACAAATGCTCCAAAGCTGATAACTGGATGCAATGAAACATTTATCAGCTGTTACATAATATGCTGTGATATAACAAAAACATACTAAGTAAAAGAAGTCAAACCAATTATATAGTTTCATTTAGATTAAATTTTCAAAAGGAGGCAAATAATGGGCACAGCAGATTGGTGGTTGCCAGGGGCTGGGGAGGATGGGGAGCACTGTTCAGTGAACAAGGGCTTTCCTTTGGGTGATGAAAATATTCTGAAGCTAGACAGAGGTGGTGACTGTACAACATGATGCTTAATGCCACTGAACTGTACTTTTCTTTCCTTGGAATGAGTAACTGAACTAAGGACTTTACACTAAGCTATATCCTCACACTATTTTGTTTTGAGACAGGGTCTTGCTAAATTGTTAACATGCCCAGGCTAGGCTTGAACTTGTGATCCTTCTGCCTGAGTCTCTCAAAATGCAGGATTACAGGAGTGAGTCACCATAGTAAATTATACATTTAGAAATGCAGCAGTTAAACTGAAGGAGATACAACTCAGTATCAGAGTGTGAGCTTAGTATGCTGAGACTTTGGGTTCAACCTTCCAGCCCCAGAAAAAAAAAGTATGAAACAAACAAAATCGTTAAAAGTAATAGTTATATAGTAAATTTCATATATAAAAAAGGGTTATAAAACGGATATGATTCATCAAAACAGAAATGATTTAGGATCACTTAAATTAATGGAAAAATATTTTTTAAATTCAATTTATTTTATTTTTTCCACAGTTTTATTGAGAGACATACAGCAATGAGACAGTTTCAAATCAAATTGGTAGGACAGTTTCAATAATTAAAACATTGCATACTCTCTTCCTAATTGTTATTTGCTGTACAAGCTGTGGACATGATATCCTATTTACAAACACTATTAGAAAAAATCCCTCTATTCATTTAGAGAATGTAACTATGTATCTATCCTAACCATTTTGAATACACAGATACAAAATGGACCTTCATCTGTATCCCCTTTGTTTAGTTCTGTCATTTAAATATTCTAGGTGTGTGAACTCAGCAAAATATTCCAAAATAGTCCAGTAGTCCATAATAGTATTGGGTCTTCTGCTTGACTGGCAATGGAAAAATATTTAACCACATATTATTATTACCCTGCTTGCAAGAGTTGGTGTCAGAAAGACAGATGTATACTAGGTCAATATTTATGAACAATCCAATGTCCAATAAACCTTATATCAGAGCGTAAAAAAAAATAACTGCATGAAGAAAAACCCCATATACTTAGAGTGGTGGTATATATACATAATCCCAGCACTCTGAGAAGCTAAGGCAGAAAGTTTAAGCTCAGCCTGGAGAACTTAGCAGTCTCAAAACATAAAAATGTGCTGGGGATATAGCTCAGTGTGAAAGCTCTGGGTTCAACTGCCAATGCCAGGATGAAAAAACAGGGAAAGAAAAAGGCACACAAAATTAAAAATTAATTTTTAATTAAATTTTAAAATTAAAATTAATTTGGAGTCAAGATAGAATTGGCTTAATAGTTCTAGAATTCTAAAGAAAAGTATTCATAAATGGCATATTCTTACCTTTCAGCCCAAGGTCCCCTTTCACATGTAAGATACAGCCGTACTGCCTTCCAGAGTCTAAGAGCAGCTAGTCGCTGAGTGCTCAGTTGTTTAAGCATATTATTATACCTCAAGTTCTCTTGTCGTGCTCTTCGATTAAATGGCTCCACAAAAAACTCCTGAAAGGAACAACAATAAGACTACTGAATCACATATTTACAAAATTTTTAAACTGGACTAATAAAATCATGTAATATGAGAAAAGAAACTTGTGATCATATACCTTTATTTCTTTTTTTTCTTTTTTTTTTTTTTTTTGTAGAACCAGGGATTGAACTCAGGTCCTTGGGCTTGCTAGGCAAGTGCTTACTTAACTGAGCTATCTCCCCGGCCCCAATATACCTTTATTTCATTACAATAATTATCTTTGATGAAGCACGATATAATTCTAGCTAAAATTTATTCAGATTATATTAATACCTAAAAAAAACCTAGCAATAAACTTGTAAACAACTTCAAAAACAATGTGCCTCAATACAGGATCTTAAAACTCAGGATAATCAGCTTTCTACTGTCAGGTGAAATAATTTTTCTTTGGAATCCTTTGATTTATAAGGAATCTAGAATGAGATTCCTTTTGTTTAAAGAAAGTAAGAAGAAGAATCATATTCCAAATCACTACCAACCACTTAAAAATCAATGATAAAAGTACAAATTTTTTGTAATGAAAAATCTTATGTCTTACACTGCTCATCTCTGAACAGCATTTTGTTTGTTTGATTTTTGAGACAAGGTCTTGAATATAGTTCAGGCTGGCCTTGAACTCAGAGCAATCTTCCTGTCTTAGCCTCCTGAGTGCTAGGATTGTAGGCATGTGCTACTATGCCTGTTTTTATACTTTTCTAATAGATACTAGTAAGACTGGCTTATCTCACAATGATATTTACATTTTAGGAATTAAAATGATAGCATTAAGTTTTTCAAACAAACCAAAACTGAACCATCTTATAACAGTTAAAAGATGTGGATCAAGCACAAAGGCAACACAACTGCATGGCTATAAATATAAACTGCAGAGTTAGATTTAGGTACAAATCTTAACTACTAGCCTAAGCTAATTCTCTTAATCTTACTTATTTCAGCTACTTCTCTGAGGCAAACTATCCTAATCTGTAAGAGGAGGTTGACCAAAGCTCTTATTAAAAAGATTAAGATCTATAATAATATAAGCATAGCAGAACATGACTGTAATCCCAGTATTATAAGGCTGAAGCAAGATCACAATTTTGAGCCCAGTCCAGGCAATTTAGAAACTTTGTGAGACTCTGCCTAAAAATAAAATAAAAGAACAGGTCTACTGATGTGACTCAGTGCAAAAGCCCTGGGTTCAATCCCTAGCACCATAAAAGAAGTGCTTTATCAAGTGTTTAAGACAAATCATTGCAGAGTAAATTGAGGAAGTCATGACATCAGCTTCATAGTTTCTTTTCCTTTTTGAAACAAGGTCTCATTATACCACATAAGCTAGCCTCCACTCTCAGCCTAAGTGTATACCACTATACCTGGCTTCACTATTTAAGTTCAAGCACGTAAACATATTTTTAAATTAGATGTTCTAGAAAACATACAAGTTGAAGTTACAGAGAAAGTGATGAGAATATACAATGGTAGAACTTTTCTCTGGACAATGTAAGAGTATCTATAAGCAGTACATACTAGCAATTCCTCTCACTCAAGGCAAGTTATCCTAAGTAGCACAAATCTAACTGTAGGGATGACAATGGGATACTATACAACATATAATGACATTAAAACATATTTATTCACTATACAGTCAGCCCTCTATCCATGAGCTCCATATCCATAGATTCAATCAACAGTGCCTGAAGATATTTGGTAACAAAATATACCAGTACTGTATTTTTTTTTTTTGGTACTGAAAATCAAATTCAGGATCTTGTACTTGCCAGGCAGGGACTGTTAAATATAGATTTCTTTTAAATTGTCATTTCCAGTACTATACAGTATTAAAAATATTAAAAAGATGCATATTCTATTAGGTATAAGTAACCTAGTGATGATTTTAAGTATGCAGGTTAAAACATAAAAAGAAAAAAAAAAACAACCTGAGCCAGTCTTACTAGTGTCTCTTAGAAAAGTATAAAAACAGGCATAGTGGCACATGCCTGTAATCCTAGCACTCAGGAGGCTAAGA